GGATAAGAAAAACATCACGGTAAATGGGGTGGGAAGTGGATAATATAAAATAATTTTTTAAAATATGTATTGGAATTTTATGTGGAACTTTTGGAAATTTAAATATATATATCTAGTCAGAGGTTTCATACACACACACACACACACACACACACACACACACACACACACACTATATATATATATCCTCTGACTTTTTGTGTGCCTGGAAATGCTGCATACTGTTTACAAGGGCAAGAACTGCATCCAATTCTCTGGCCATTTTTGTCTTTGTCTCCCCATTACTGACATGCTGGGTAGCTTTCAAAGGTACACAGCACCTAGGTGCTGCATAGGTGATCCATACCCTACAAGATTTCTCCAATGAAAATAGGGGCGTCCCATTCCATAATGATAATTGTACTATTTATACCCCACACATCTTACTGGGTTGCCCCAGCCACTCTAGGCAGCTTCCAACATAAACAGTGCTTTTTTCGGGGGGGGGGGAGGACACAGGGGTATGCATACCCCTAAACATTTTGTGAATCTAAGTTTGGCCTCATTGAGGGGCAGTATTTCAATATGCGTAGGAAAATGAGAGTACCCCTACACATTTTAATTTTTTTAGAAAAAAAAGCACCGTATAAAAATAAAATGAAACATTAAAAAAAGACTTCCCTATACAGGATTGCCTTCAGACGGCTCAAGGGTCGGGTAACTCCATACCCTCCAACATTTCTCCAATTAAAATAGGGATGTCCTAAGGAAAAGTGGGACATTCCAGGATCAAATCGGCTTCTGTAAATCAAAGACATCCCTGGAAATTAGGGACACTTCGAGGGTTTGGGTTATCTAGCCCTCCTAACACAGGAAACCAAGGTGGTATAGTGGTTAAGAATTTCATACTCGGACCTAGGTTCTCATAGCTCATTGGGCTATTTGCTCTTTCTCAACCTAACTTTGTTCTTCATGGGTAAAATGGGGAGAAGACAGATCAGGAAGTACAGGCAGCCAGGAAGGCTGCACAACACTACGTGGGGAAATGTTTCATGGCAAGAAAAACATGCTCAGCACCCTCATCTTACAGTGCCATGGAACCCACAGAAATTACATGGAAATTCTAAAGTGCCAGGCAAGTAAGGCAGAAACACAGGAGCCTCTTTCATAGGGGTTTGCGCACAGCACTACCATAAAGCACACCCAGGGCTCCACATATTTCAGGAGAAGACCAGTAGTGGTGAACAAGCATTCTTTAAGTGGTGAGAAAGCTGATCTTCTCAGAAAAGAATCCCCAATAATCTTGCAAGGAATTCCAGGGTTCTCCTGCAACGCAGCTCCAAGGCCATTTCTGCACAGCAATCATTGTAATTCTCTGTATTGTGTTTGTAATTCCAGCGTGGAGCTATTTGTCAGGGTTACTTCAAGGTTATTTATGTCAATTGCACCTTTGAAATGTATGGTCCAGAGAATCATTTGTCTAGGGAGGAAAATAAAAGCAGAGTGCATTTTTCAAGCTGCTGTTATTTGCTGCGCCTCATATTCATCAGTGTAACAAACTGCAGAAATATTACGGGATAACGATGTAGCAATGGATTATTTATCTCCCATCTCCATTAACTGAGCATTGAACAGGCATTTCCTAATTCCCCTTTCAACTAATCTTTAAAGGAGCATACGCATTTTCGCTCTTCAAACTGCAATATTGTCATTGGTATTTCATCTGTCTGTGCGGTTATGATTTCTCTTCATCCCACACCATCCTTTCACCCTGATCTTCTCTGAACCATCAGTTGTGGCAGCTTCCACTTCTCTAAGAGTCTATCCATACTGACCAGGCACATATTGCTACCTCTGGTGGGAATGCATTCCAATACAAGGATTTGGGTCTGATGTATACAAGGAATTGACTAGTATTGCAGGTGATTATACTGAATTCAATCCATAATTATTTTTGCTTTTTACATTTACGGGACATAATAAGGATATCTCGTCTAAGTACTTAATTTTGCACCTATTAATTGGCAAACACAAAAGTTGATACCCTAAACTTATCAGCATAGTACAGAACAATTTGTGCCTCAGCAATAGCAGAGAAATTACACAAAAAAATCAGGGTTATGCAAATAGAAGAAAAACCACAATCACTGTTTTGCTACCTGGCAAAACTTTATTGCGTATGCATCCAGCAAGGACTTACAAAAACCCACAACAATGGCAGTTATGGACATTTGGCAATTCTGATGTATGTAACATGGGTTTTTTATATGTCTTGAGGAAGTCATGATGTGTTTTTTATATTACACCTGTCCTTTGGTGTATTTTTTCAAATTTTCCTTTGTTTTTATCCTCTATTGTTTTTCTTTTGGATAAACATACTAGCCAGTTTTTTTTTTAAAAAAAATAAAATATTTTGCATAGTGATAGAAAACCTTCTGCAGATTGAGGGTCACATTCCCTTATGGGCATTCTTTTGGGGTTCCACCCCAGTTTTGGGTGGGGCCAGAGGCAAAAAGTGCACATTGCAGCAGCTGTGACTTTGTGCAATATTTTTTATTTCATTCATGAATCACAACCCATGAGGCATCCCAAAGTGATTTACAATATAGTAGCATATACAAGGGACGTGGGTGGCTCTGTGGGTTAAACCACAGGGCCTAGACTTGCCAATCAGAAGGTTGGCAATTCGAATCCCAGTGATGGGGTGAGCTCCCGTCGTTCGGTTCCTGCTCCTGCCAACCTAGCAGTTCGAAAGCACAAAGTGCAAGTAGATAAATAGGTACCCCTCTGGCGGGAAGGTAAACAGCGTTTCCGTGTGCTGCTTTGGTTCACCAGAAGCGGCTTAGTCATCCTGGCCACATGACCCGGAAGCTGTACACCAGCTCCCTCAGCCAATAAAGCGAGATGAGCGCCACAACCCCAGAGTCGGTCACAACTGGACCTAATGGTCAGGGGTCCCTTTACCTTTACCTTTTAGCATATACAAAACAGTATTCTGGCCTGACAACCACAGATCTAGCTAGATGGCTTGAACTCTTGGTTAGGCTTCATTTGACATATTCTGTGCAACTATTATGGACACCTCTAGGACAGCAGTCATTCATACTGTTGTTTTGCCACAACATGCCTGGCAATGGTCACAGTCAAGTTTCACGGTGGAGTCCAGCTTAGCCATACTAATGCATGTGGCTTTAGGTAACCATGTACCTCCCATTCATTCTGTTTTTTCTAGGCACATCTCTTTTGCAAAGAGAGCACGTGTGGCTGTTTAGAAACTTCTTTAATTACTGCTTGTACCCCTTGCCTCCTCTCCATGCTGCCTCATTACCAGTGACACAATCCAGATGAGTATTTTCTCATTTTCTCTCATCTTTGTTTAAACTTTTTTCCTGCTCTTTTCTTAAAAATGCATATCAAGAAGCTCACGGTATCCACTTAGAACCTGCAAAGCAATGAACTGCACTTAATGAAAGAATGTTTTGATGTTGCGGCTTTCCATCTGTTCTTGTGCTCTACAACAGTTCCCACTCAACTGCTCCATGCCTCTTCAGCAATCTGTAATGGAGAGGCAGTCCTTTCATTAATCATGCAAACAGAGCAAAGTACTTGCAAGTGAAGACACACAGCAGCCAAATTCCTATCAAGAGATACAGAAGTAAAACCAATAGGTGTTAAAACACCATTGTTATACAACCAAGTGGCTCCAATGCCTTTCAGCCTCTGCTGGGTTACACTTTAAGATTAATGCTAAAAACTAATAGTTATGCTATCCATGGGCGTAGCCAAGGGGGGGGGCAGGGAGGGGCAGCTGCCCTCCCCCTAAATCAATTAAAATACATAGCAAAATGAGGTTCTGCCCCCCCCCACAACAAAAGGATTTCCCCCCCCCCCAACAAAAATCCTGGCTGGGCCCATGATGCTACCTTTTGATTTATTTTTTTAAAAAGGTTCCCAAGGCAGTATGAAAAGATGCTAACACAAGTAAAAAATTCAAACAATAAAACAGAATTTACAAAAACAAAAACAAAACATGTCTTTGTTGGGGGGGGGGGAAACCCACTAAAATTCAAACATCCATCCTCCTGCCTAAAGACAAAAGCCAATCCCACCCTCTACCTATCCGGGGGAGGGGGGATGTTGTCACAGAGATATCAGGAGTAAACCCTCAAGCAGCAATTACTTCTAAGAGTCCCAGGAAGTGGCGGCGGGGGGGGGGCAAAAAGGTAGAAAAGCTTGCCCCTTGATGGTGATGACATGTTCTCTCTCCTGAAATGGCAAGCTGGTCTTTTCTCCTTCACCTTTGGCTTTCAAACTTTGTTCCATAAGGGAGCCCTTTCCCCATCAACCCTGTTTCTCTTCCCTACCCTTCGATTCAAGCGAGGCAGTGACAATGCTAAATCAATGGCCAGGATGCAGAAATGAACTGGCCGAGGATGAAGCCCAAAACAGAGGTTATGTCATTAAGTGATCCCTCTTCTGTTTTGGTGTGATTCACCCTGTGAAGGAAGGAGGTCAGTCTCTGCTGAAGGAATGAGTTCATCATCTGGGAATGCTCCTTGGTCCACACTTGTCAATAGAGGTACAGGCTGCCTCCATAGCATGCCTTGGGTTAGTAACATACCAGTCCTGTAGGCTAAGTGACCAGTGCTATCCTTTGTAACCAATGATACCTATTTGAATGGGGAGGTTGGCAAAGCTTTCCATTTTTGTATGTGGCCATCCTGTGGTACTCCTATGACTTTCAAATGTTGGGTCCAATTCACATATTCTGCTAGTATGGTGAGGAGGGCTGAGTAGATCCCCCTGGGTTGAGAATGTGCCTCAACCCATCAAACCAAGTGGTATGCCTGCTCCTGTGGTGTCCTCAGATGTTCACATGGAGAATAACATTTGGATATGGCCTAAGCGAATACTTTAATGCATACATGTTGAGGTTGTGCAGTTGATTTCTGCATTTTTATCTGGGAATTCAGCTCAACTGGGTCAAAGCATTTTGAATATTATGTGTGGGCATATTTAGTGGAAGGGCTGTAGCTCAGTGGTATAGCATCTCACTTGCTTTCAGAAGGTCCCTGGTTCAGTTCTTGGTATTTCCATTTAGGACTGGGACAAATTCTTATCTGAAACCCTAGAGATCTGCTGTATATGAAATGCTTTTTAAAACAAAAGCAAAAAAAATCTGGGTCTTAATTCCCTGAAGTATACTGCTTTGAATTCTTAAGATTAGGGATCCAGTCTGCAGGCCAAACATGGTCCACCAGGGGGTCCAATTTGACCTGCAAAGCCATTTCCCCAAAATCATGGCTATCTGTCAATCAGCTGGCATCTCTTGTGGTGTCAGCTGCTGGGCCGAAGAGCAAGGTCCAGTTCTGGCTTAGTTGCACACACCTGTCCCTGACAGGGTTGTCTGAGAACAGGTAGGCTGTCCCCCCGCCCCCAATCTGTCAAAGTTGGCCTGTAGTGCAGGGCTAGATAAATATCATGCTCCCTGTGTCCAAAAGTGCACCCACCCCATCTCAAAGAAAATGATGTGTTATTAGCTGTGCCTGTTTATGGTTAATCCTTCCTTCCTGAAAATGAAACACAAAGGCAAAAAACAATTCATCCAATGAAAGTCAACCATGCTCTTTTCAAAAGAAAAAAAATAAGGAAAGAGAAGAACTACTACTGGAATAAAAGAAATGCAAAATGTAAAACTTGATCAAAGGACACATCAAGGTGATGCTGTACTTGGATGATATATGGACACTTGACCAGATGTTGGCAAAGCATATTTCTGCTAATAATATGGATTTTGTAGTGAGCAGATGGCTTGAAGGACAGAGGCCTGGTTATTTAAGGGAGGTGAGGCTCCTGCTCACATTTCAAGCACAGAAGGCTAAGAGGGCACCAAGGAGGCCAGTGATGGTTGTCTTTCAAGTGACAAACTTGAGCTGTGAAGATGGCTGGATTTCAGAAGGGGGGTCTTCACAATATCATTTGACTCTGTTTCAGCAGAGGGAGGGGGGAACGTTCAGAAGTAATGAAGGGAGTGAAATGCATGTCAGCCTGGATAGCTCATGTGGTGAGAATGTGGTGCGGATAACGCCAAGGTTGCAGGTTCGATCCCCGTATGGGACAGCTGCATATTCTTGCATTGCAGGGGGTTGAACTAGATGATCCTCAGGGTCCCTTCCAACTCTAAAATTCTATGGTTCTATGGCCGAAGGGAACTTTGGATGTATATAAAGGTAAAGGGACCCCTGACCATTAGGTCCAGTCGTGACCGACTCTGGAGTTGCGACGCTCATCTCGCTTTATTGGCGGAGGAAGTACAGCTTCCGGGTCATGTGGCCAGCATGACTAAGCCACTTCTGGCGAACCAGAGCAGTTCACGGAAACGCCGTTTACCTTCCCGCCGGAGTGGTACCTATTTATTTACTTGCACTTTTACTTGCTTTCGAACTGCTAGGTTGGCAGGAGGTGGGACCGAGCAACGGGAGTTCACCCCATCACGGGGATTTGAACCGCCGACCTTCTGATCAGCAAGTCCTAGGCTCTGTGGTTTAACCCATCCCTTGGATGTATATAGTAGCTCCCAATTTCATGAACCTGTACCCAAAGTTTCATTTCTGACAATGCTCTGGCGTGACACAGCTTTAAGGGTACCATGGGAAATGTGAATGGTAGCTTCCACAGTTTAGCTACTTGGGGATGTGGGCAGAATAACTAGGAGCGATGCAGGGCAGAACAAGTACGGTGGCTTCCCCTGTTCTGTGGAATAGCATTCCTGTGGAGATGTGACAGGCACCCCCATGTGTGCTTTCTGGAAACAACTGAAGACATTTTTTTTTTGTTCCCAGCTGGAGAAATGGGCCTTTACCACAAGTGCCTACAAATGTTTTAGTCTTGTTTGAAAAGTGTTTGTTGTATTTGTGTTTTTAACTGTTTTTTAATTACCTTATGTGGGAAGTGCCTTGAGAGTTGCTTAGAAGGTGGTTCACCTCTAAATCAATGATGGTGATGGTGATGATGAACATGGGAGTGGCAGGGAATTCATTAGTGGTGGACATCAACTCCAGAAGTGGGTAGGAATGGGGGAATTATCAATTGTTATACAACTCAGTTTCTCATTTGGTCCAATCTCAATTTCCATTTGTTCCATTTCTGCATAAGTTTGCATGTGGCACTGGCGGTGAGGAGTGGTCATAAAAAGTTATCAGGATTCTACAACTCCTTTCTTCTAATAAACATGGTTTTGTACACAATTTTGCCTCGTATACAATTTTGCATTTTATTTTTCCTAGCCTTATTGTCATTAATATAATGCACTTGGGTCCTGGCTTTCCCCTAATAGACACATTTTTAAAGACATTTGTTTTGTTAGAAAACTGCATCGAAAATCTCAGAGAAGGGCAAACTTCAAAGCAGAGATGTGTGTTTGGTTTCAGGAAGAACTTTTTTTAATACAAGTAATTATGCAACCTACAGATGGCAACACCATCTTAAAAGAAATATAAAAAGGCATCCCTCCTTTTCTCCCCCATAGGAGGGAATCTGAAGATGATGATACAGTCCCCAGGTAGCAGGACAAGGGTTTGAATTTCCAGGTGGCAAGAGTGCCTTCCCTACCCAGGCTCCCTAAGCAGGTGATATGGAATGGTCCCCTCACTTCACCTCACACCTCCTTTAGCTAAGGTTTCTGTCCTAGTTTCCAGTGAGTGACATATTTGCTCCTTTGTTACACCGTGTTTCCTATTTGATTGACATTCTCGCAGCAACTGTGGTTAATGTGTCATGCTTAATGACATCACTGGAACTCACCCACTGTGAATGACATCAGCAAGAGCTGGTGAACGACATCACCCTATGACATCACCAGGGGGCTGACCCAGTTCTCAGGTTTGGATCCTGAAATCCCAGGGTCTGGGATGCTCCTTACCTGCTAGTTCTATGCAGTAAGTTCTGAAGTAGAGCCAATTGCATGTGATATATTTAGGGTGGGGGCTTCCGTGGCACCCACTCCTCACTTTATGCCCCCACACGTTTACTCAGAGCGCTTCAACGAGGCTGAAAGAATCCTTCACACTGTTCCATTTTTTCCTGTTTCTGAGTTCAACTCCAGGAACAAGAAAGGCCTCATTGATTGTTCCACATGAGGCCTCGCTATTATTGAGGAGATGTATTTAATGAGGAGGGGGGAAGAATCTTTGTAAAGAACTCTCCGGTGGCATCAAATATTTCATAATCAGAATGATGCTTTTGAAAGTGAAATCAATTCAGGGTATCTCCCATAAGGTTAAAGTAACGATTGTGGGGGGAGGGAAGAGGCAGAAGAATGAAATCAAGACAAAACATTTAATGAAACTTGTGCCACTGCTTTAAAAAAAAGGAACAAAAGGTTACATATGGGTAGGTATTTCTTTCTTTCTTTTTTGCTCTAAAAATAGGGTGCATAATATATTGGTAGGCATTGCACTAAATGACAGCTTCTCTAGCAGATATTTATACTGAATGATACCCAACATTGGTTATTCTCAGAGTAGACCCATTGCAATAAGTATGCCAAAGTCACCCTAGGATTCACACTGGATATCACCCATAAGCTTTGATTAACTTATATATGAACATATAAAATCACCTTAGTTGGTTAGATGAGGCCATCTAGCTCAATATTATCTGAAGCCTTTTGGTCCAGGATACTTCAAGGACCATCTAATCCTCCATATCCCTGCCAGGTCACTGAGATCTTTGGAGGAATCACTGTTAGTGCCCCCCATGGCTCTGATGCAAGACTCATATCCACCAGGAGCTGTGAGAGTAGTATTGTAGGTCTAATTTTATTTAAGGTAAGACATTGTTGAAAATTTGTAACTTAAGGGTAATTCTAACTCAGCTAACCAAGGATGCGTGGGGTGGGTGTTGCTTCGTAACCAGGCAGTTCTTTGTGAGGTAACATGTGCCCCAACTGGCTGTCTAGTTCTGAGGGAATTTTTCCTCTGTATGTGTAGTTGAATGTCTCCCTGCTCTTTACAAGGCCTGAATTTGTCTTCAAATTGCGTACTTTTTCATTCAGTTTTCCTCAGTAAAGTGTCATCAGGGTTCATTTTCTCTCTGGACTTCATCAGTGTTATTTAAGTAACTTTGCTAAATGATACAATATCTTCCTGTCTACAAACATCTGAAGGGCTGTCACATAAAGGCCAAGCAGATTTGTATTCCAGAGCACAGGATTGGAGCTAGTAAGTGGAGATTACAGAGAGGCAGACTTTGGCTAACCCTTAGGAGAAACCTCCTGGTGGTCAAAGCTGTTTGACATAGTGGACCAGACTACCTTGAAGATGGTGGGCACTCCTTTGCTGGCAGAGGCTAGAAGGCCGCCTCTCAGGGATGTTGTGACTAAAAGATCTTGCACTGACCAGCAGGCTGAAGTAGATGATCCCAAGGTCCCATCAGACTCTAAACTCTAGACCGGTTTTGTTCTTATATCTGCTGGTTTTGAGCTCTTTTTATAGAAATAACCACTGTGTGTGACTCTGAAAATCTGGCTTAATTAATGCTTCCAGGGCGATAGCATGCTGGTGTCTTTCTCACAGCTGCTTAAATCACAAAGGTTAAAATGCATTATTTGTGCCTACCTTATTCTTATGAGTAATCTCAGTTACATCTTTTTCCACACTTGTTCTAGAACTTTAAGCTTCTTGCCTGCTTCTTCTTTCCGAATTTGCATATCTGACCAGCGCATTACAAGACGGAGAGTGCTTTAAATCCAATCTGTGGTGACTTTGTTGATTTCAGCTTTGACCTTGCAAAGATTTTGTTATTAAAACATGATGGGTTAGAGAGCCAGATAAAATGCTGCTTTCTTTTGGCTGCCCTGTGGAAAACATTGAAAAGGGCAGCGTCGTTATAAAGATCAGTTTTGTACTGTGGTTTAATTATCTGCTAAGCCCTTTGCATTTTTAGAGAAGGTAAAATAGATGGGGGGGAGGAGGACTTTTATGGAAAGAAGAAAACTATCTGGTAGCACAGGAGTGGGGAATCACCAGCAGGAGAGTCCTGTTGGACTCATTTCCTGCTTATAGGCTTATTGTTAAGGGCTACAGCTCAGTAGTGGAGAGAGTATCTGTCTTGCATGCAGAAGATCCCATGCGCAATTCCTGGCATCTCCAGGTTGGGCTGGGAAGACCCCTGTCACCTCATCTCAAAAGGATATTGTAGAGTTGGAAAAGGTTCAGAAAAGAGCAACCAAAATTATCAAGGGGATGGAGGGACTCCCCCATGAAGAAAGGTTGCAGCATTTGGGACGCAGGGAGCAGGCTTCCTCAACCTCGGCCCTCCAGATGTTTTTGGCCTACAACTCCCATGATCCCTAGCTAGCAGGACCAGTGGTCAAGGATGATGGGAATTCTAGCCTCAAAACATCTGGAGGGCCAAGGTTGAGGAAGCCTAGTTTAGAGAAATGGCAAGTAAGAGGCGACATGATAGAAATTGGTAAAATTATGCATGGCATGGTGAAAGTGGATAGAGAAAAGTTTTTCACTCTCATTTATAACACTAAAACTCACAGACATCCCGTGAAATGGAATGTTGGCAGTTACAGTACCCAAAAAAGGGAAATACTTCATTATACATCACATAGTTTAAATTGTGAAACTCACTCCCACAGGAGGCAGGGATGGCCACCAACCAAAAGAGGATTAGACAAATTCGTGGAGGATAGTGGCTATCATTGGCTACACAGCACAACAGAAGGTCTCTGGATAAAAGTCAGCTGGAGTCCAATGAATCTATGGACCAACTCTACGAGACTCTCTCTATAGTCCTCTTCAGAACCTCACCCTATATGGCATGCAGGGGACTGCACCAGTGACCTATCCTCTAATGTTACATGTCATCCTAACCATCCCCTCAACTTTAACATCTGTCACCCAACATTCTGAAAAGGTGTTCCTTGAATAGGTGCTCCCTATGCTCAGGAAGCCCATTAGCTTGAGGTTCCCCATTACGTGGCACACCCACACATGTGCAAGCACAGGTAACACTTTCCAGAAGTTGGGCTTGGAATACAAAGCTTGGAGGTGTGGATGAGTAGGGCATGATGTTGCGGGCAGGACCAATTGCTTGGGCCTGTTCTCCCACCTTCCGCATGTGGACTATGCAAAATCTGAAGCGGTCTCATGAGAAGTTTCTATACATGATTTCACCATCCCAAGAGAAACTTGTGTAGTGCAGGGGTTCCCCAACTCCCCGCTCCCTTTGTGTGCAAGTCATCATGAGTTGTGCAACTGATTCTAACTGTGACTTTGCTTACTGGCAGAGTTGGCTGATGATTCCTAAACATCTCATCCTTCCTTGAGAGATCAAGTGATGCAAAAGCCACCAGCAGCCTTATTGATATAACTATGCTTAGTTTCATCTGCCAAAATCCATAGGATTCTGCACATTTATGGAGTGGTGGGAGGAGAGCTTCCATTCTTCACTGACCACTTCTCCCCTCCTTCCCAAAACCAACAAATGGGAAAGTTTTACTCATTACGCACCTGCCTGACTTGCAGGCTTGTAATGTTAAGTTTTTAAAGCAACAGATAGCACTATTTTTCAACTTTACGTGGAAAAGTTTTTTGGTGTGTTTTTTTTTTAACTCTCTGGGAGGTGGCAGTTCACTTGGGTAGGCTGATCTATGAAGGCTGAAAATCACATTCAGGCACAGCGTGTGGCCTAGAGTGAGGTTGTTAGCCTAGCTTAGACTCCTGTTCCAGCCCATGAGATAGAACAAGGATGAAAGGCCCATGTGGGGAGCTGAGCTTTTCTCCAGCAATAAATAGATTGGGCTTGACGTCCTTCATACTTCCAATTTACTGGAGCCCATTTGCAGTTTGATGGATTACAAGGCATTGTTCCTGATGCTCAGGCTGCACATACCATTGCTTAGGTTTGCAAAGAAATGGCACTACTCGTGTGCAAGAGGGAGGTACCGGTGGGCATGATTAATAGATGCACCCCCAAAAAAATGTTTTAGGAGGGGAATCCTAGGTGGGGGCACTAAAAGCAGTCAAATGAAGACCACACATGTTCAGTGGATAAAGAATAGGGGAAACCTGCCCATTTCAGTTTCTCATCCTTGCTATCTTGAATTCAGCTCCTGTAGCAATTTGCAGATGCTTTCAAAATAGAAATCCTCAAGGAAATTCGTCAGCATTGTAGTGCAATTTCCTCCCAATAAAAACCTGTATGTGTGCAATCTTGCCTAATATGCACATTTTTGCATAGCCGTTCCCCCAAAGATAATGCATTTTTGTATGTTAATTTCATAAATAGATGCATTTTCATGCACACGTGCTTCTGCATATACTAAGCTATATATTTCCACTAATAGAAATCTGAAGGACTGCACGTTTCAAAGGATGGCTGTTTCTCAGCTTGCTTATTGTTTCAGAAAGTGTGAGTGTGTTAGGTTCACCTTTAAATGCAAGCATAATCAATTTTCTCCCCCATCCCTGGAGATGCACAAGTTTAGCTATGTGGTTTTAGTCTGTTATATATTTAGTTATTGCATTTATATCCCATTTCTTTCTCCAAGGAACTCAAGGTGGTGTACATGGTTCTCTCCTCCTCATTTAATTCCCACAACAGCACTATGAGGTAGATCAGGCTGAGAGTCAGAGACTGACCCAAGGCTTACAGGGACAATGTTGGGCCCCTTCCAGTTCCATAATTCTAAATCAAATGGCGTTTCCATGATGAGAGGGAGTAAATCTTTGAAGGATGCTTGTCGGAGGGAAACAACAGGGCAGAACGATGACATCAAACCCTGACCATGAGTTTGTTTTAGCTGGACACTATCAGCAACAGAAAGCTAGGCTAGATGGACCTTCCCTCTAATCCAGGGGTGGGGAAAATTTAGCCCTCCAGATGCTTCTGAACTACAACCCCCATCAACCTCAGTCACTGGCCATATTTGCTGATGGGAGTTGCAGTTCATCAACACCTAGAAGACCAAGACTTCCCCACCTCTGCTCTAATCCATATTCTAATGTTCTTAAACCAGCAAACTACTGTTTCGTGGCTGCACTGAATAATAGGCTGTCAATCAGCTTCTTATGAGCTAATGTAGCTTTTTAAAGGAGCCATCGATCATCCCATGCTCCTGTTATCCTAAACTCCATTTATTTATTAATTCCAGAAGTGCCCATTATGACAATTGTGAGGCTTGGAGGAAGACTAGGTTGCCAGGATACCTTAATGGGATGAAACGCATCTCTCCGCACGTTCTGCTTCTCCCACAATAGGGTATCCAAGTACAATAATGTCACCACATGCCGTGCTTTATTACACACACACACACACACACACACACACACACACCCCACTGTTGGTGGGTGGGTGAGATAGCCTCCCCCAGTCGTCTGAAAATTTGGCATCAGGCAGGTCCCTTCACTGTAATGTTTTTGGCACTTGCTAAAAATGCTTTTGTTTAGCCAAGCCTACCCAGACATGTATAATAATGTTCCTGTGTGTTTTAGTTTATTGCTTTTTTAAAAACAAAATGTTTTAAATAGTTGTTTTTAACTGTTTTTACTGATAATTTTATTTCAGGCTCTTTGCAAACCACATTGAGGTGGGGGTTGTTTTATGATCACGTGTAATGAAATAACAACAAACCAACAAATTTTTTGCCCTCCGGCAAATTCTATGTACATTCTCCTATAGAATTTTAAAGGGAATGACTGAGGACTATGCTTATGAATAAGAGTCACCACTATCCTCATAGCCGTGCCCTGGTTTCTTGTTTCTAGGTTACCCTGAGGTAATGAGGGAATATAGATAAAGCAAGACAGTTTTTGGAATGGGAGTGTGTTTGTCTGTGTGTGTGTGTGTGTGTGTGTGTGTGTGTGGAGAGGGAGAGAGAGATATCCAGATGTTTCATCCACATGACAACTCTTTGCTCTTGCTGCAGTCAGCATTCCATCCTTCTAGTCTCTGGCCAAACATTACAAGGAGAAAACTACGGCATACTATAAAGGAGCAATATCAGGTTAACATTTCCTGCCTTTTTCAGCACCAGGCATTGGGGGTCCTAAATAAAATTGACGCTTGTTGTTTCTAAAACTTTCACTCTTTGTTTTATCAAATTCTCAGCTCTCTTGGGTCTGCAGGCCACAAAAGGCCAGGCGGCCTGCTCCTTCCTAAGCCCTCATGGGCTCGCTTTAAGGATCTTAGAAGACACTTTTTGTGTACCATTGGCTCCATATGTGGGTAGCTTTACTACTTCATCCCGCCCCCCAGGACCACTTAACAATATCAGCAAAGCAATTAAGTCTAGTTTTCGGGAAAATGCCAGAGGCATTACAGTGTCTGGATGGGAGTCTCAGCCCAATTATTTTCAGCTAGTTGCAAACTATGGAGAGTGGGCTTTACTTCATTATAACTTCAGTTCCCAATGATTAAAAGTCTAGCATGTTGCAGCTAGGAAGGCAAAAATGAAACAATTAAACTTTCCATCACTAAAATTGCTGCATATTCTTCAGCAGAGGGGGGATTACTTGTCTCCAGAGAAGTGATTAAAATGAACTGATTGAACCGTAATTTGATTGACTGGAGAGCCTCGATCCTTTGCTCAGATGCTCAGATTCCATTTTATTGCTCTGTTTTCTTTGGGAATACACACACATGGACACATGCACAACCATTTCCTTTCTCTGCTGGCCAATTGAAATACCATACCACTATGAAGAGGTCTCCACTTCCTCTATGCCTGTATGGGAAATAGAAAAAAGAAAAAAGAAAGGTTTGGTTAAGAAAATAAGATACCAAAGGATGGCATGCAGCCCTCAGGCATCATGATGCAGCAGATGGGATCATATTATATACTACAGAGTACCAGCACTTTCATATTTGGATGAACATTTTTCCAGCTCTCGTGGCTGCAGAGAGAAGTCAATCAAGTGAGAGTGATCCATGCATGGCAGGAAGCTTTGAAATGTGGGTCACCTACTTCATCAGCTTCTCTCCCTCCCCAAAATATCCCTGTATCTATTATCTGAGGCTGCTCTTGGCATTCTTCTTGCTATGTCAGGACTTCATGTTTAGCAATCAACAGGATGCCCAGAACGATCAGCAATCAGAGCCACGTCTAGGATTAAGTTATGGAGACTCACCATTGAGCACAGAAATCATCTGGGAGGCAGAAATCAAATAAAACTGGGCAGTGCAAGCTTGCATAGTCTAGAAGTAGGTGAGACAAGGAAGGTAACTGGTTGACTTGCAGCACTAAATCCATCAGTGACGGTCAACACTGGCCGCTTTAGAGTTCCCTTCCCCATTTGCTAAGTATGCTGGTGTTGGTGAGTTGGACTTAATGAACTATAAAGTTCTAGCAGATACAAATAGTTGGCATAATTACAGTCCTTAAAGGAAGGGAAAATATTAGGTTGAAAAGATATATCACACATAAAAATACAAGGCAATAAAATGCATTAGAAGGATAATAAAAGATGCTTGAGAGATGTAGCAGTTGGCTATATCATGAAAAGCTGGAGAAGTGATTTGATGAGGCAAAGTAGAATTGGCAACTATTTCTTGTTATAAAAGAAAGCAGGCAAACTCTCCTCAAAAAGCCCCATTGTACTGCTGCAAAGTGTGGAGATCTACAACCAGTCACTTAAATTAACTAATTTGCTCCCGTCAACCATTGTGTGTAGATATTGATTGGTTTACTACTCTCAGGTATCAGTCAACACATTGCATGCTATATGGGTATAAGCAGACTGGGAGATAACGCACGTCTTTCTAGATAATTCATGAATTACACAACGGAAATTTGGCTCCAGGGTTTTTTTGATACCATCGCTAGTGATGAGTAGATTTCCCTCGCCCTGTTAATTTATTGTCCCATCATTTTGCTATGCCCTGTTTTCCTTTACATTCAAATTCTGGTTCAGTGTAGAGAAGATCTAAAATTAGCTCCAGAACTATTTTCCACAGCTTTCAGTTACTCCCATTCATTGTCATCTTCCCCACCCGTTATCAATGCTATGGCTTCACTGTGGTGGTTGATGTTTATTGGGACTGGTAGGGTGCAAGGCAGAGAGTAGGTGGTGCCAGGACCAATGAGAAGCAGAGCAAACAAATTTTAGTTTTGTCCCCATCTTCCTCCCTGTTGAGTCCTGCAAGGGCAACACTGAGACAAAGGAAGAGGAAGCTGATAGGCAATGCTACACCCTGACAGGTTACAAATAATAATAATAATAATAATAATAATAATAATAGTTGTTGTTGTTTGTTTGTTTATGCCCACTCTGGGTAGCTTCCAACAAAATATTAAAATACAGTAATGTGTCAAACATTAAAAGCTTCCCTAAACAGGGCTGCTTTCAGATGTCTTCTAAATGTCAGATAGTTGTTTATCTCTTTGACATCTGATGGGAGGGCGTTCCACAGGGCAGGTGCCACTACCGGGAAGGCCCTCTGCCTGGTTCCCTGTAACTTGGCTTCTCACAGTAAGGGAACCGCCAGAAGGCCCTCGGCCCTGGACCTCAGTGTCCAAGTAAAACAAAGGGGTAGAGACGCTCCTTCAGATATACTGGACTGAGGCTGTTTAGGGCTCTAAAGGTCAGAAACGTACTGGGAACCAATGTAGGTCTTTCAAGACCTGTGTTATGTGGTCTCGGCGGCCGCTCCCAGTCACCAGTCTAGCTGCCGCATTCTGGATTAGTTGTAGTTTCCGGGTCACCTTCAAAGGTAGCCCCACATAGAGCGCATTGCAGTAGTCCAAGCAAGAGATAACCAGAGCATGCACCACACTGGCGAGACAGTCCGTGGGCAGGTAGGGTCTCAACCTGAGTTCCAGATGGAGCTGATAAACAGCTGCCCTGGGCACAGAATTGACCTGCACCTCCATGGACAGCTGTGAGTCCAAAATGACTCCCAGGCTGCGCACCTGGTCCTTCAGGGGCACAGTAACTCCATTCAGGACCAGGGAGTTCTCCACACCCGCCCGCCTCCTGTCCCCCCAAAACAGTACTTCTGTCTTGTCAGGATTCAACCTCAATCTGTTAGCCGCTGCCATCCATCCTCCAAGCGTCTCCAGACACTCACACAGGACCTTCACCACCTTCACTGGTTCTGATTTGAAAGAGAGGTAGAGCTGGGTATCATCTGCATACTGATGAACACCCAGCCCAAACCCCCTGATGATCTCTCCCTGCGGCTGCATGTAGATGTTGAAAAGCATAGCGGAGAGGACAGAAGTCAGGCAAGTGGGGTCTGGCTGAGGTCAGGCTGAAGCTGGTGGGGCAGTGAGTGCCCCTTAGCCCCAATGAACCAGCCTCCGCTGCTGATGCTCATATGTATATTTATGGAACACTGCAAAGAAGTGATATTGATGGGAAGTGATCTTGATCTTCAGAGTTGTTTTTGTTGAAATCAACTAACACAGGATTTCAAACCAGACCGCACACCATGGGTTGCATCCCATGCTAGTCCTACCCAGAGTAGAACATGGAATCATAGAATTATGGAACTGGAAGTGACACAAAGGCATTCTAGACCACAGCTAAAGAATCCCTGACAGATGGCCTCCGCAACATCTGTTTGAAAACCTCAAACAAAGGAGAGTCCACCGCCTTCTGCGGTAACCCATTCCACTTTTGAACAGCTCTTACCATCAGAAAGTTCTTCCTAAGGTTTAGTTGGAATTTCCTTTCTTTGAATTTGAATCCATTGGTTCAGGTCCTTCCCCTCTGGAGCAGCAGGAAATAAGCTTGTTCCATCCACTTGACAGCCCTTCAGATATCTGGAGATGGCTATTGGTATCGCCTCTTTTCCAGGCTCTCAGTCTTTTCTCCATTGAATCTAATAGACATGGCCAACTTAAGCCCATTCATTTCAATAGCTCCACTCCAAGTTAGTTGGCTGCCACCACAAATCACCCATCACCTCAATTAATGACAAACTTTTGGAATGTTTTGTCCTTCCTTCTTGGGTCTATCATCTCCTTTTAGCCCTAATCTATCTAAAAAGTCGGCTATATCCCAGGAGGCGCCAGGCAGGCATCAATCGCCCGACTGAAGTCCATGGAAACCATGGGTGGTCACAGCATTAGCTGGATCTGCTTCTTCATTCTGCTGACAAAGAAGCGCCTTCCAAATCTCTGTGATCTTCGCACATTGTTGGAGACTGGGCTCGTGGGGGGTGGTGAATCGCAAAACAAAGGCAGAGAAAATCCATGCCGTTGTAATGGTAATGAATTAATGGTAAAAATAGATTGGGACTGAGCTGACAACAGAAGGCTAGGAAAAGCAGCTTCCGGTCTGCACAGGCGAGGTAGGGAACATCAGGCCTTGGAGGTGGTGGTGGGGTCTGTCTGACCCTCCAAACTTTCCCCTGGTCACATCCCCTCTTCCCAAGTCACACCCCTCACAGACCCTCCTTTGCACCTTAAGCCAGTGTGGTGTAGTGGTTAAGAGCGATACACTCGTAATCTGGGGAACCAGGTTCGCTTCCCTGCTCCTCCACATGCAGCTGCTGGGTGACCTTGGGTTGGTCACACTTCTTTGAAGTCTCTCAACCCCATTCACCTTACAGAGTGTGTGTTGTGGGGGAGGAAGGGAAAGGAGAGTGTTAGCCGCTTTGAGACTCCTTAGGGTAGTGATAAAGCGGGATATCAAATCCAAACTCTTCTTCTTCTTCTTCTTCTTCTTCTTCTTCTTCTTCTTCTTCTGTGTTTTTGCTTGGATGAAATGTGACCTGGAACCCTGAGATTGCCTCTTGCTTGTCTGGATGGAGGGCAGGGGGCAGAGAAGGGTAAGCAAGTGTGTGTAGAAGTAAGCCTGCTGTTCAAAGGTAAAGATTATCTTCTCCACCTGTTTTAGCCTCCGGCCCTACCCATTGCTGCCATGTGGCCCCAGGAACGTTGAGCAGAAGGGAATGCGGTCCTCAGGCTGGCAAATCTCCACTCCAGGGCAACCACCAAATAAGGCCCTTGACTGTGGGGCTGCTGTTCTGGCTAGTAGGTACACATACCATTGGACATTTCACGAATGAAAATAGGGACAGTCTTTTACGTGTTGAGTGCCCCTTCTCTCTCAACCAGGGTGACTTCTTGAGGGCTTTTCCCCTGCTGAAGATATATACCATCTACTGGCGGCTGCCTGCTTTGTGGTAACCATGGGATAGAAAGATGGCTCAAACATTACAACTGAGAATTGGATGTAATTTCTAGAACTCTGAATACTACAGTGATTAAAGGCCCAGGCTTGGCAGTGCCATCTTTATTTCAAGGAGCAAATAAAGATATTTTGTTTAAGACATAAATAGTCCATTTCCTGGTAGCATCCCAGATAAGAGATTGGATTCTCATGGGGAAGTGATCGTTGTTTTACTACGCAAAATTGGTATGGTAGTGTTTTGAAAGTTGCCCTTGTAGACAATCTAACACAACATTGCAGAGGAGTCAGATGTGACATTTCCAGAGGTAAGTTTCACAATAACTGGCCTCTCTTCATGAATTTCATAAATTCCTTACCAGAAGGACCTAGACCACCTTCTGTTCACTTTTGTTTTTGGAGAGGCATATTATTCTGAACGTTATATCAATATTCCACATTTTATTTATTTAGAGATTCTATCACTGACTTTCTCCGAGGTTTAGAGAAGGTTGCTGTTAACTTTGCAAGTCTGCTGTTGTCATAGATTCTATATGTATATATTTATTTTTCTTGATGTGATCTTTGGAATGCTTTGACTTCTTTGTATCAGTTTGTTTGCTTAAATGTTTTATCAAATAAAAGAAAGAGAGAGAAATGCCTGAAAAAAGCAGTGTGTGCTGCACTTATGAAAAAACACACTTACCATCTCAGAGTTTCTTGGGCTGCTGCAAAACCAGAAGATTATGTAGCTGTCTGGTGGTCTCACTCACACCTTGATATGGTCCCTGTTAAGGATCAATGTATCAGGAAATGCCTCTGACTTTTACCCTGGCTTACTCACAGGTAAGAGTTGGGCTGGGAGCCTGAGCAGGCCTCCTGTAGTATTTGAAAGATGACAAGATGATACATAGAGAGTGGAGGAGAAGGAACAAACTTAGCTGATGCTGCTACCAAACTAGTTAGTTTCACTTGGGGTTGAACTAGACAACCCTTGGAGACCCTTTCAACCCTACGATTCTTTGCTTCCTAGTGTCACTCAGAACTGATTCCCCCCATACAATCATTTCTAAATCACTTTAGTTCCTGCTTGCATTACACCTCCATCTAGGGGTGTGAACTCACAAAACCCACGGGAGAACTTGGAAGTCCTTAACAATCCTAATGCATATGGGTGCACCCTAATTCCAGCTTTGAAAGGCGTCTTCAAAATCGCATTGAAGCTTACAACAGGGCAACAACATCAGTGCTTTTTTTTCCAGCCAGAACTTGCCAGAACTCAGTTCCAGCACCTCTCAGGTGGGTGCCATTGCCATTATAAGTAAACAAGGGAAGGGTTCATTGTGAGTTCCAGCACCTCTTTTTCTAGAAAAAATAGCACTGGATAGAGTCATACCACACCGAGAGATAATGGAAAACAGCGATGACTGCAGGTAAACAGTTGGAGTGTATTGTTTCAGCCCATTAAAATAAAAAAATCCCCAGAGGTCAATGTGGCTTCCTGACAAATCTGTTTTCCTGTGAGATCAGCTCTCTCAGAAAGCGAAGAGTACTTAATGGGGAAAGCAGAGGCGTAAGTGGAAACAAATCCCAGAGCAGTTTAAATGTCAGAGGGCTGCAGTGCAAGCGGCTTCAGCAGACCACCGATGGCTCCTCAGAGAAAGCCATAACATGCATTAACATACCAAAATCCCAAAAGGCAAAATGCTATTATTTACTCCTCTTTGAAATCTCCCTCATTTTAGTTGTTTTGCATATTTCCCCTCCCCCATCTACTCCCTCCCCCAAAAAAACTGTTAATGTTTTATTTATGAATGAAGGAATTAGCAACTGTTTGGAACTTCATTAAACGCCATCCTAGGGGACGTACTAAGTGCAACCTATTAAGTTATTATTCCCAAATATCTATCCAATTTAGACTTAATAAAACATCAAGTGTTGTTGGGTGTAAGTAATTGTTTAAATGAAAATGGCATTGCCACATAATTCGGAATTGGAGCCTTTAGTGCAACGCTGCCTGAAACCTGAGATTTCAGTGTCAGACCTATTGGTCAGGGTTTATAAGGACAGACTTGTGCTGGACTTCTTCTAAAGAGTTTGGGCACAGTTCACCAGCATGTTCTCAAAGTCAGGGAGCCCAACTTGATTTCTACAGCAAGTCAGCAAGCCTCCTCCTAACACAAGGGCAACAAACCATTTTTCATCCCAGATGCCACATTGCCTCTTAGGCAAATTTCCGGGATCTACATCCCAGTGGTGAGACCAGAGGCAGAAGTGGGCAGAGCAATGGATGTGAAAGTTACCTCCTGAGTATTGGCTTGCGGTAACAGGAAGACAGGATTTTTCACTGGTTTTATAGAATGCCTGCCACACACTCAAGCATGCCATCAGTATTGGCATTCCACCAGCTCTTGAAGACACACCTGTTTAGACAAGCTTTCCCCTGGTCTCCTGACCTGCAACTGCTGTTGTAATTGTTGTAACTGTTGTTTTGATTGTTGTGCTGTTTCAGTGGACTGTTTATAGCTCCTCTGATCTTCACCGGTGGCCCCTGCCACCCACACACCACAAGCTTCTGCCATGGGTCACAGCTGCATCCCTCCGTCTAATGCTAGGGCCAACCCAGAGAAGTATGTCTTCCAAAAGCTTTGCATGGCTGTAGGGGAAGTCACTGACTACATAACATTAACCCACTGCGAATAAACTCCCAGCTCATAAATCCTGCCACACAACTGCTAATGCAACAAAACAATGCCGCAAATCATGTTGGTGCAGGGAAAAGGAAATGGGTCTACAACCCATCCACTTAGGTGCCATCTGTTACCACGTTACACTAGCAAGCAGAGCTGCAATGTTTTAGGTTATATGTAGATCGCTAATGGGCATTCTTGGTGGGGTGGGATGGTATCTACACATCCTCCTCCCATAACCTAGAAAGAATAATGAGGAGATAAAGTGTTATGTGGAAGGAACAAGGCTCAGGTTGCACTGAGCAATCAAGAATTTGTTAGCACATGAGAGACAGGTGACATGTAAATAATGGAGAGGTCGCTAATAGATGACTAATAACTTCAGCGCCATCCAATGATTTCTAGGCAGGCTTGGGATTGTCACTGTGGTTTTTTTTAGCACTGTAAATAGAGTATTAATTTCTGCTCGTCTTATGCAGTTAGCAATGCAAAACTGATCTTCTTTCAAAGTCCTCTGGGAAAGGATGAGGTTTTTAAAGGCCTCTAAGTTTGCTGCCAAAATAACGGTGTGATCTCTCCAGAAACACGGGCCTGGAAAATATCACTATTATCGCTCCTGTTAAGCCACCTACAAATTGAGAGTTGCGACTTACTACTGAATCAATATTCCGCTTCCTTGTTCAGCGCACCATGGATTGGGCGACTCGGGAAGTTCATTAACGAGCTTCTTCTGAATCCACTCCAGTGACATGAGACACCCACTGCCTCGTCAGAGGAAAACAGCACCGACTCTGCATTTTGCAATCCTTGATCTCCAGCGAGATTCAACAAGGCCAATAAGAACCAGCACAGCATGCTGCTGGCGTAATTATAAATGTGTGTGAGAGGCAGAAGCTCACATTTTCCTTCTATTAGACCTTAACTGCCTCTGCTGTCTCTTCCTTTGTGGTGCGTTTAAGCCAAGATTTCTTGGATCAAACGCTGCCTCGGTTTCTAAAACAGCACTAAGACTGGGTTGAGGAAGGCATAAGACCAGGCTGGGCACCAGCATATGGCAAAATCATGCAGCTGCCAGGGCCCCTGTAGGGCCCATATGGGATGCTGGTTTATACCAAATAAAACCATTGGTTTATCTAGCTCAGTACTGTCTACACTGGCTGCATACCCTCCAACATTCCTCAGATGAAAATAGGGACATTTCTCACTCCCCCCACCAACTGACCCTCCTCAACACTCCCCCCCATTTTTGTCCATTCTTCCCACCCCACAGAGCATTTCCTATCAGAAGGGCAAATGCCACCACCGCTATACCATTGGGACACAGCATACACACCCTCCATCTCCCTGAGAAAACCTTAATCCCAATTTCATTTTATCCTTCGGTAGAGTTTACATACCAATAACTCCTCTCCCTCGCTTCGCTCCCCCTTTCTTTCCACCCGGGGCAGCCCTGCCCTCTGCCTGCCCCTCAGAGCTGGTGCATCACACATGCCTGGGCCTCAGCAGCCACAGCTTCTCCTCCTTTTCATCTGCTCTCCAGCAGGTAACCACGTAACAGACCACAGTTCAAAACATGGGAGCCAGTGGTTAGAATGTCAAACTAGGGCCTAGGAGACCAGGCTTCGAATCCCCACTTGGCTGTGAAGCCCACTGGGTCACTTCCCAGGGTTGCTGTGGGGCTTGAATGAGGAATAATAATAATAATAATAAAATAATAAATTTTTATTTATACCCCTCCCTTCCCAGTTCAGAAAACTGGGCTCAGGGCAGCTAACAACAAATTTAAAACACTTAATTGTAAAAGCAGCATAAAATATAATATAAAAACATGAATAACAATAAAATTCAAAATTCAGAAATCAATTTGGGTGAAATCCATCTAATAAGCATTAGATAGTCACCAGGACTAGCTGGCTGAATTAGTCCTACTTGGGCCAGCGAGGAGGCCAGGGGAGAATTAGCTGTGGGGTCTTAGAGCAGGTAATCTTCATAAAAAGGGAGGGGGAGGGAAGAGAAGGGAAATAAAAGATCAGGCTGAATTCAAATTAAAGGCCAGGTGGAATAGCTCTGTCTTACAGGCCTGACAGAAGGAGATTAAATCCTGAAGGGCCCTAGTCTCATGGGACAGAGCATTCCACCAGGTTGGAGCCATCACTGAAAAGACCCTGGCCCTAGTGGAGGATAGTCTGACTTCGTTAGGGCCCGGGACCTCTAAACTATGGTTATTCATGGACCTTAAGGTCTTCTGCGGGGCATACCAGGAGAGTAGGAGAAGAACCATGTATACCCACCTTGAACAACTTGGCGGTGGGGGGAGGTGGGATAGAAATGCAATAAATAAATCAGCAAGCAAGTGGGCTCTGTTCAGACTGGTAGGTTATAGGGCTGGCGCAGGACTATTGTATGTGCTCCCTCCAGTTCTTGAGCACCAGAGGCAAGGTGTGAGATTTGACCCATGGATGTCACAGATCTCTTAATTGGACCAATCAAGGAACAGCAGTTCCCCAGCATATAAAGATGGGAGCGTGTGATGTCATTTAATTGCTGCTTTATTTGCAAAACTTGTGGTGCTAACACACTTTCCCCCTCCAAATTTTTTACTCAGCGGGGTGGCTTTCACTCTTAAAGTTATCACTTTGTGTCACAGAGGGAGGCTTGGAAATCGATAGCATTCAGTACATGAACAAGCCACGCAGAAGCCCAAGCATAAAAAGGAAGGCAACATGTTTCAAACCAACCCCCTCCTTTAAAAAAGAGAAAAGACTGCAAAATTTAGATGAGTGCAAAATAGCTTTTCTACCCTGCTTTGAAGTTGCTACATCATATCTGATTAATGCATTTTAAAGATGCGTGTTGCATATAAATAAACAAAAAATGCTTTGTAAGGGGAAGATCAAGCTTCCTGCATAATGCTTTCTCTCACAGCCTAATCTATAAACAAATTAATCAAAAGGGAGGGGGTTTTATATATTCCCACTCACCCCATTCTGGGCTCTTGGGTCTCTAATAGCAAAAGAAGAAAATATCCAACAGGTGAAGTTTTAGAGAGCTTGGAGATTTAGTGAAGGGATAAGGAGATACACTTGAATTCCTAACTGTTGTATAGCCATTAAAGCACAAGAGCTTTAACAGGGGCAAATGCAGAATACCCAAAGGAAGGCTGAAGGTAGATGATAATAAAGTAAGCGGATGAGGCTAACTCCTACACTTAGGCTGCAGAAACTGGAGTATTTATCCCAGAAACACACTAATAGTTCATCCTCCCTCCCCCCACCCCAAGCCTAGGTCAGGAATGATAAGACTTGCAGCCCAACATCTGGAAGTCATCATGTTGACTACCCCTGCTCTAGAAGTAATTGGACTACGACTCCCATCATCCCTGGGCTACGCTAGCTGGGGTTGATGGTATCTGGAGTCCCACAAAGTCTGGAGAGCAACACATTGGCTATCCTTGCTCTCAGAGTTGCTGGGTTACAACTGCCATCATCCCTGATCATAGCCCATGCTAGTGCAGGGCTAATGGGAGCTTGATCACCCCTGGTCAGACACATGGGACTCTCACCAAGAGACTTTATATCATTGGTGTAGCATGGGTTGCCAGTGCCCGGGACTCCATGGAGGGGGGTAGGAGAGAGGGAAATGGATGGAGAACACAGGCACATTCAACTGCCTAACGGCATCTGTGTCACCCAGGAGATTGTAACCACAGAGATAAGAAAAGAAGTCTTGTTCTGTTGTCTAGAGGTCAATTCCTGGTCCACATCAGGCAGCTGTTTTCAACGGAGCCCAGCAATGGAAGCACACATCTGTACTGAGGCAACATCGGGTGTTGAAATTTTGCACCCTGACAATTTTGCACCCAGGGCAACCACCCCCTGTGGGCCCCCACACTACACCATAGCTCTGCATCATTTGCCTACCTCTGATGGTACAACAAAGAGCCATGGGGATGTTTAACCAGTCCAGTCTGCCACAAGATGTGATAACTATTTCTGCACAAAGCATGTCTATAGAAGGGTAGGGCCGGGGGGGGGGGAGCTGTCCCTTAATGCAGCCCCCCCCTTTACAGTGTTAGATTTTTACAACTTCTGGATTGCTCAATGTTTCAATTTATATCAGTGCTCTGACTTAGCTGCAAGCCAGGACAGTTTTACGAGCACTAAAAATAACCCTGCAACACACAACCACTAAGTACTAATGACATAAATAGTACTCGCTAATGGCCTCTATTTTTATTGCAATATCAACCTTCAATACATCACAATTACCCGGCTTCTGAAGCTGAAACAATACATACTGTATGGTGCCAATTTGCAGTTCTGTTCCTGAAAATGGCATCGTTTGCGGTGACTGTAACATACCACCCACCTTAGCTAGTGGCTTTTGATTTGAATGTTGCTCAGCGTTCATAGTGCCATTTACAAACCATCTTGCAATTGACTAATACCCTGAATTGTCAAACTTGTCCAGCGTTAGCTTCTCACGTTTGCATCACAATAGCCACCAGGTGGGTGTTACCTAAGTCAGCCATGTGCTCAGCAAACACACACACCCTAATTAATTTTCAACCACAAAACAAGTTAAAACAGAAGGGAGAGCAGCTTGCTTTGTCGGTCGAGTCATTCCTTCTACTTTCAATGTTCAGGCTGTGAATGCTGTGTCACCCACAAACTGGAAGGAGCTGTCAGCAGGCTAGGGAGAACCCCAAGATTTGCAGAAATACAAAAACCTTCAATGCTGAACGCCAGTACAGTGATGAGACCCTGGAAAGCTGATTCCCTGGAGAAACGGAGACGGAATAGAGCGGCTGGCATCCTGAACAGCAACGCTCTTACGCTGCAACATTTTGTCGCAGGTCCCATTTGCAAATTAAAATGACAAATGAATTTTCACGATTGCAACATAGCTTTTCATTACCCCAGAACATGTTGCTAATGTTAGGTAACTGGGTTGTTTTCTTAGGGATGAGAGAATGTCCCACACTGTTCCCTGGTTGCTCCTCACTAGCATCCTGTGCCCCATGATCGATTCCTCCTTCAAACAGGAATGGCTTGCCCTGTAGGGCAGAGCTTCAACAGTAGCCTCTCAGTAGCAGCTGAGGTCAGGGCTGCTGAGTAGGAGAGTGTGTAAAAATTAATTCTGGAATAGGAGCATGCCCAGTGCACTTCAGCTTTAGTTCGGCAGGTGAGTAGAACATAAACCATTTTTGTTGGGGATTGTAGGGAAAGACCTGCCAAAAAAGTTGAAAAACATCTTCATGTATGCGACAACAGCCGCGAGAGTTCTGGTAGCACAAGGATGGAACACTGAAGAAACCCCAACTAAAGAATCATGGCAAGAAAAATTGATGGACTATGCAGAACTGGCAAAATTGACATATAAGCTAAGGACAAGGATAACTGTGACTTTAAGGATGAATCGGAACCCTTTACAAAGTATCTGAAGACACAACAATGCGAACTGGACTCCTTGGCAGGTTTTGAATAAACATTCACAAACTTTTTATTGATAATAATCAGCTAAATAGTTTGAGGATCTATACAACTTTGTAACATGCAGAAAACAGCATTCTTAGAGAAACCAAAGACAGGAACTGAGGGAAGTCGGGAGTGGGGGGGGGGGGTGTGTGGGAGGGGGGGAGGGAGGAAAAATGTGGGGGGAAACAAGGATGATATGTTTTTGGATAATATGTCTTGTTATAATTTTGAATAATAAAAAAGAACATAAACCTCACCCCCAAATTAGCATTCCTGTTTCAGAATATTAGGAGGAGGAGGAGTGGCAGAAGGGGAAAAAGCAGCAGCTGCTTTATTTATACAGCCTGTCACACCACTTCAGGTGGGGGGTGGGGTGCACCCAAAGCCCAAACATGGTGGGGAGGAAGGAAATGTGTGTAATTGGTCCTAGTGGTCCAATAAGGCTGTGAAGCCATTACATTAAAAAAAAAACAACCTTGAGGTTAAATAGTTGATGATGCTAAAGAATGTTTGTACATGGTTAAACCCTGCATTTCTATGCACATTTTTAAGTTAGAGAAATGCATTGCAAAATTCAGAGAAGTGCAAAACCCAGAAGATGGCCGTGTTTCTGTGTGCATATTGGTTCAGGAAGTGCAAAGTGGGTAGTTTCTCATTCCAACACCAAAATATCAAATCTCCACCCCACCCATTTCCTAGCAAACACACAGTCTTCCACTCTATAGTGAGATACACTGCATTTCTATTTAAGTTACAGTAATTTATTTCTAAATCTTTGTGTGCAAATGAAGATGGGAGCATAAGAAGAGGCAGGTGTGAAATAAACTGAGAAATAGCAGAACAAATTCAAGAAACACCTGAAGACCTACTTTGTGTACACTGACTTCAGCCAAAGACCTGCATCCTAAAATAAAATTGTGTGTGTGTGTGTGTGTGTGGGCCTTGGGGTATTGGTGCTCTGAAGGGAAGGACTGCACTTGAGTTAAATATAAAACATTATTGCCCTTGCAATAATCGAGGGAGAGCTTTGGTCCCCTGGCTCCAGCTCTGGGAAGAGAGCATATTAAAACTGCCTCCCATTCATTTTGCGGCCGACAAGCCAAGTAATAAAGTTGAGGTTCGTTTTGTCTATAGTAGGATGCCCATATTGCACCCCAGAGAGATTGGCCGTGCAGTTCCTATTTATAGGAATTTACATAATATGTAAATATCTAGAAATGGACTCCACCAAGGGGTAAGAAATGCAGTGACCTCTTTGTGAGGCAGTGATTGTGTGGAGGGTGTGGGGTGTCCCGTCCCCCCCCCTGCATTTTTTTAAGTCCCAGGTTTACAAAACACTTTGCTTCCCCTCCCTGTCAAATCACCAGCTCTTCCGCAATTGCCTTGGATTCTCAGCACCCATTAGGGAAAGCTGTGATTATTTTCTCTTTTGCTGTACAAAGGATTTTGTACTTGACCCTCCTTTACCAATGTGCTCCCGTTGCATTTGCTTCAACTTGATGCTAATGGTCTCCATCGCAGTTTTTATTTTTTGCCTATAGCTTTTCTTGTGTGTCATTCCCAAGTTGCTGCTTTTCAAAATAACCTCTGCCATCTGCCTTGGGTCCAGCTGTTCCTCTCCCTTCTCGTTCTCCCACGTTTTTGTTCTCTAGGGGTTTGAAGTATAATTTTACATCTTTTAAACAGTCTCCTTCCCTTTCCCCCCACAAGATAAAATTGTTGTGTCTTCGAGATACCTTCAGTTGCCTTTTTATGATGTGGCCCCTATGAAGGCTTTGATATCTTCACGAATCGTTGGGTGCTCGTCATACAATTTTTGAAAAACAGTGTCTTTCTGCTCACATTTGATCAGGGCTGAAAAGGGGCATGGCCTGGGGAGAAAGCACATGGTCTGGCAAGGGTCTTGAGGGCCAGGCAGAGAGGTATGGAGGGCCACTTTCAGCTCCTGGTGCTCAGGTTCCCTGCTCCTGTCTCAAAGTATATGGCATTGACCAGAACATGAGACAGAACTGCCTTGAAGGAAGGAATTCCACATTTCCTTGAAGCTGTCCCTTATTATTCCCTCAGGGGTTGTTGTTGTTGTTTCAATTTATATACCAGCCTTTATCCAAAGACATAATACAGAGCCTAATAATATACAGCATAAAATAACAACAGTTCCCCCATACACACATTTAACAGACCATAGATTATTTAATGGCCAAAGGTCTGGGTAAAGAGAAATATTTTCGCCTGGTGCCTAAAGATATGTAATAATGCCACCAGGCAATACTCTCTGAGGACAGCATTCCACAGATGGAGAGCCA